CTAATAATGGCATCTCTGCATTCTCTATCATGGAGAAAATCAGACCATAGTTCCTCTATATGCTTACCACAAAGCCTTTGTCAATCCTAAACTTCTGAAATCAATTTAGGTTTTAAGTTGAAATGCAGCACTGGGAGGCAGAAACAAGAGAAATGCTAATTAATTCCAAAGCATTCAACTGGTTTGATTCCAAAGCCAGTAGTAAATTAAATTTTTTAACATGACTATACTTTGAAAGGAAAAGGGATGATGGTGTGGAATGGAGGAAAAATGAAGAAGTACCTGCAAAAGAACAATAGATACTACCAAAAGTCACCATACTCCCCCCAAAAAGTCACCATCCCTAAACCCAACTTAAAAGCAATCAGGGGCGCCTGGATGGTGCAGCCGGCTAAGAACCGGACTCTTGGTGTCAGCTCAGGTCATTAGCTCAAGGTCGTGAGATCAAGCCCTATGTCGGGCTCCGTGCTTGGCATGGAGTCTGCTTGGGATTCTCTCTCCCTCTGCCCCTCCACTCACGTTTTCTCTTTTTCTCCCTCTCTCTCTCTCAAAGATAAATAAAGCTTTAAAAAATAAAAAAAAATAAAAGCAATCAAACCATCTCATTATAGTAAAAAAGGGGTATTAGGTAACTTGTGTATGTGTGTTCTTTGTATTCTTTGAGCTTGGATGTGACATTCTATTTTAAAAGGAAGGAAGAGGGGCACCTGGGTGACTCAGTCAGTTAAGTGACCAACTCTTGATTTCAGCTCAGATCATGATCTCAGGGTCCTGGGATCGAGCCCCCATCAGGCTCCATGCTCATAGGGGAGTCTGCTTCAGGATTCTCTCTCCCTCTGCCCACCCACCACTCGCACACACTTTCTCTAAAATGAATCTTTAAAAAGAAAAAAGGAATAAACTATCACTGTATTGTTAAAATACATACTTATATACATATATAAAATATACAAAAATACACAACAATAGCAGTTTGTGTCCATCCTTATTTACTACTTTAGGAACATTAAAATCTATATAAATTAGCAGAAACCCAGAGCCTAAAAGAAAGATGACTATAAGATTTTGAATGAAAATCTTACAAGACTGGACTCTAATACAGTGTAAAAATTTAGTATACTCGGTGGGGGGGAGGTCTCTGGGTGGCTCAGGTCGTGATCCCAGGGTCCTGGGATGAGCCCTGTGTCCGGCTCCCTGCTCAGCAGGGAGTCTGCTTCTCCCTCTACCCCTACCCCTGCTCATGTGTGCGCTCTCTCAATAAATAAAATCTCAAAAAAAAAATCTAGTATACCATGTCAACCGTTACTAAATCAACTTTTACTGTTTTGGTTTTTTTTTTATGACATTCTTGGAGGGCTGAACTTCCTAAAAGAATAATAAAGGCAAGAGATAGTATGCAGCTAAAGGTCAAACCAATGCTATGCATTTTACTCCTTAGCAAACAAGTTTAAGTGAAAAGAGAAGTCAAGGAGAACCAAGAGTGCTTTCGCCTAAATATTTCACCAGATCCTCTTGCCCTCATAAAGCACGATGAACCCAACTCCTTACTTTCTCCAGCCTTGCCTCTGGGTTGCCTGGTCCTGCAAAAGAAAATCTGGCAGTGGTATTTCAAAATGGTATTTTCATACTGAACGGCACATCTGACATACAAACTGAAGACTCCCAATCTCAGCTGGCCCCTCAATGCAGCTAAATAATCCATCCTGTAAATTCTTAAGCTTCCTGCCCTGGTCCCTCCTTTTAAGACTAAGTAAGGTTTTTCAACTCTTTACCTCTATTCTTCAGCTTTCCACCCACAACCTCTATACATCCTATATTGGCAGAGGAATTTGCTGCACAAAGAAAATAGCTCTCAACATTTTTTTTTTAATTTTTATTATTTTTTTAAATATTTTATTTATTTGTCAGAGAGAGAGAGAGGGAGAAGCAGGGAAAGTGGCAGGCAGAGGGAGAACCAGGCTCCCCTCTGAGCAAAGAGTCCGACGCAGGACTCAGTCCCAGGACCCTGGGATCATGACCTCAGCAGAAGGCAGACACCTAACTGACTGAGCCACCCAGGTGTCCCTTTATTTATTTTTAAAGATTTTATTTTTAAGTAATCTCTACACCCACTGTGGAGCTCGAACTCACAACCCTGAGATTAAGAGTTACATGCTTTACCAACTAAGCCAGCCAGGCGCCTGCTGCTCCCAATATTCTAAAGCTCCTTTTACTGCCTCTGTCTCAGAGAAGGTACTCACTCTTCCTCTCTAGGCCTCACCCAACAGTCCTCCACTGCTGCCCTGGACCTCATTCCCTCCCCCTTCTCTGGAACTGCTCCATCTGGTAACCCTTCCCTTATCTTTAGTCTCTCTATCCAATGGTTTGTGTCCTGCACCTATAAGACTATAAGTATGCTCAACACATTTTCACCATCCAGCCAAACATCAAAGCTATACTCCCGCCTCTTTTGTCCCTTCTCTGACCAAAATGGCCATTTATACAAATTGCTTCACCTACTTCACTTCCACCTACTTCTCAATCCATTATGGTTCATCTCTTCTATCTCCTCTCCATTGGCCCTTGCTTTATTGAAACTATTTTAATTAAGATACAAATGACCTCCTAATTGCTCGATGGAACAGCTCCATTCTCTCTTTTCAGTGATGACACTTCTAGAAATTCTTTCTCCTCCACTTCCCAAAACCTCCTGATTTTCATGAGCTCTTCTCCTCCACGTATTTTTTTTTTTTTTTTAGAGATTTTATTTGAGAGAGAGAGAATGAGAGAGAGCGCACATGAGAGGGGTTAGGGTCAGAGGGAGAAGCAGACTCCCCATTGAGCAGGAAGCCCGATGCGGGACTCGATCCTGGGACTCCAGGATCATGACCTGAGCCAAAGGCAGTCGCTTAACCAACTGAGCCACCCAGGCGCCCTCCTCTGTGTACTTCTTAAATATCTAAAGGATCCATACTCATTATTCTACAAGTACTCTCTGAGGAACCACCACCCATTTCCACATAGGATACTATCTATATTTTGTTGTCCCAAATTTCTTCCTCTAGCCACAAACTCTCTCAAAAGCGCCAAATTCATATTATCACCTGTCTAGAAAAAACATCCATCAGATTGTCCCCAGCAAGCAACTCAAACTTCTAACATGTCCTAAATCATGTTCTTTGCACCAAATCTCCACCTCTCAGGCAACAGCATGACCAGGCACCCAATCCCCCAAGGTAGAAACCTTAGGGTCCTCCATGAATTCTTTCTCCCTCAGATCCCCACCCCTATTCTGTCACCAAGTCTCATTCATTTTACTTCCTAAACTCTCTTGAATCTAGTTCCCTCTTTCTGTCCCCATTCCTGTGAAGGTACTTAGGATCTTCCTTATCTCATGAATGAACCATTTCAACTAACCTCTACCACTAGTCTCTCCCTCATCTACTCTTATTCTGTATCACTACCAAAATTATCTTGCTAAAATAAATTCAAACTTCAAATGGCTATCTATTTTCCCCTGTGAGACTGGCAAAAACTAAAAAGGAAAATAATACCCTTGTTGGTTAGCTGTGTAGGGAAATGGACCTTCTCATAAACCTGGTGGGGGAGTTATTATTAGGCAAAATATTGAGGCAATATCACCAGACTTATAAATGTGTACACCCTCTGATCTAGCAATTCTATTTAAAGAAATTTGTTCTAATGAATTAACCAGGAAGTACACAAAGATATACAAGTACATCCTAAAGTTACCATCATTCCCAGCAAAGGCCAGACTTTTTTTTTTTTTTTTTTTTAAACATACTATACAATTTGCCTGGAATGTCTCCCTCCCAACTCATGCCCTTCTTCACCTGGTAAAACTAGAACTCATCCTTGAGTTCAAAGGTCAGCAACTCCATCTTGTCTCCACAGCAACTTGGTCCCGCCTCTGCATCACAGTGCAACCTCTCTTTCTCTCCTGCAGTAGACCGTAAGCTCTCTAAAGACAATGGTTTTATGTATTTTTTATTTATCACCTATCCATATCTGCACTACTTACAACAATGTCTAACACATAGTAGGGAGCCCAAACACATGTGCTGAATGAAGGCGTTTTCTTCCTCTTCACACAAAGAATTCTCAGATTTCCAAAATCTGGAACTTTTAAAAGGTATTTCCTAAAATGCTGGTGGACTCCAATATACGCTATGTGAAATTCCTCTATTATAACAGGTTTTCAAGCAAAGCAAATAGTCTTGTGAATTTATATAAGCAAATAGTCTGTGAGTCTTTGTTTAAAGTTTAGTTCCTAAAGGTACAAGAATCCCCATACTGGGTCAGAACTGTGGTCTATCCAATTGAGGATTTTCTCTGAAAGTGGTACCAAGAAATATGTTGTAAGAAGATACAGCTATCCTTCCAGACGTTAAGTTAAAAATGTTCAAGTGTGTTCCAAAACACCTTACTTTTCTTCAATAACCTACTATGAGTCCATCATACTTGAAAATCATGTTCTGGAATCATTTAAACTTTCAATACTATGCCAGAGCTCTTTTCCATGCTATCTGTTATATAAACAGCATTTTACATGTAAGCAGAGTAAGTACATAAGTAGTACATAAGTAGCACCGTACATCCATATACAAGAATATAAGTAGTTCGGTTATACATTTTTTTTCCAAGTTGAACTCCTTTTTAGTTTTAAGAGGATTCCTAATTCTAATAAAGGCTTGTAACAGCCTAGTCACATCCTTCATGATTTCAAAAGTTCAGTTCTACTCCTTTTCGTCTTTGTCTTTCTAGACTGAAGAAATCTCATCTTTCTATTGTGTCCTTATAGAGAAATAACTCTACTCTGCACCATTTCACTTTTCTTAATTTTGAGTTATCTTACAGGCTCCAAACTGAAACAATAATGCAGGGAGGTCTACGAGATTTACTTTAATTTTATAGAAGTCAAGAAAATTTCACCCCTGATGTAAGTTAGGAAAGACAGCCTTCAAAAATACCTCTGACAATCACGGTACCCCAAGACTTACAGGAAATCATAAGGTAGTCCTCACAGTTGCTTTTGTCATCATCTTGCTGGTCCACAGGGATCCCATTGGCATCTATGACTGCTTCAGAGGCACAATCTGCTACCAATACTTCTTCTGAAACGACGTCCGTTGTCAGAGGGTCAGTGACGATTTCTGCTTCTACTACACTGTCATGAACCACGTGTTCAACATGTCCAACATCAGATACATGTATGGATTCACTCGTCAAGACGTGTTCTGGCATAGACATTGAGGCTGAAGTAATGTCGGAAGCTAAAACATCATCTGGGACTGTGCAATGTGCTAAAGAAACTTCTTCAGTTACATCTGAGTCCAGAACTTGCTCAGGAATGATGACCGTTTCAGATACATCTGCTTCTTCCATGATATCGGGGCACTGAACATCTTCTATAACAACATCCTCAATAACATCCTGGATTACAACGGAGTCTGGGTCATCAGGAACAAAGTTATGCACAGTTATGTCTGAATCCACAACATCTGAAACAAAAACAGTTTCTTGTACTTCCACAACAATTTGATCACCGTCCATGTGTGTAGCATCAGCTCCTTAAAAAAAAAAAAATTAAAATCACAAATTTCAGGTAGGTGTGCATGACTACCTCAAATAATGTAAATGTTATTTAATTCCTACCAGTAAAACAGACTAGCTCCTCAGTTTTCTCAAACACTAACACAGATTAAAGAGGGAAACTATTTTTGAATCATATCAGAAACAGAAATTTTTAATACAAGAACTTTTATTCTCATCCCAAATCAAGTGATATGGAAATACAGAAAACCAAGGCAATTGAGCCAGTCTCTCTCTCTCTCTCTCTCTCTCTCACACACACACACACACACACACACTCATGAAAGTAAAATTCTAGGCTCACTGAAGTTAATCCCATATGCAAAGGTACTTAAGGGAAGTTTATAAAAGTAAGTAATGCCAGTTCAGGTGACAAATACACCATTTTCCTTCATTATATGTGTTTTCATTCCTTTTTCCTTCTTGTTCCATATCTTTCTCCTCAATTCTTATTTTTTCTTCTTTCCACCTCTCCCATATATCTATTTTTACCCCTTCCGTCTTTACCCCTTTCTCCCCCTTTGTTCTAGAAAATATCTCACCAATATCCTCCATTTATGACTACAGAAATTTAGAAATTATCCTCTGAATCTAGGATATAAAAGGATCAGGGCATAAATGAAAAGAGGGCTAGAAGGCCACAGTTACGGAGAAAAGACAACTGGCTAGGGAGTCTCTGTGGATAGATGAGATGCATAGAAGTGCAGCTGCTCTGGAGTGGTGGAGGCCAAGGTTAGTTGGAATGGGGCCTGACGCAACTTCACCAGGGTATTCCGTCTCCAGCCAGCCTCCTCCTGTCCCCCCATATCCCAATCCCCCAGGCAGCTTCTCAGAATATAAGACCCTTACTCTAGTCCACTCTGCAATTAAGGAATAAAGGTAGAAGGCTGAATCAGTTGAAGCCCCGTTGAGATTAAATGACTTCACCAAGATCACACAGTTTGCACAGATTATGGTGCTCCATAAATATTAATCTGAATGAATGCCACAAATGGGAATCAAAATCAAATGTCCTTGCCAAAAACATAGGATAAAAGAAAACAAATCCAGTATCTTGGATCCTGGTCTAGAGAAAAGCAAAGTTTTATAAAAGTCTTAACCTAAAATGCTATTCTGTTGATGAGTGCTTCTGGATGTGACTCAAACCAGATTGAGTCCAAGCAGCTGCCTAACTCAATGACTGTGTGTCACTGGCCAGGTCCTCAGAGACATTTGGCTTTGCTTAACAAACACGAATGACCAACAAGGGCCAAAAATATCATTAAAAAATGTAGGAAATCTTACAGCCAGTTAATATCCATTTTAATTACATCTAGAAATAATAAAGAGTATGTTTGCTTTAATTTCTATAGGACTTCTACAAAATGCTTTATACTCATTTATTTTCCATATTCTCAATATTAACATCAGCAACAGATCACCGTAATCTCCACTTTGCAGACATGAAAATGAAAGCATTTGGTAGCAAGAAGACTGGTTATAAAATCTAAATCAGAGAGTACAGTTTGGACACTTATTCGTTTTGTGACCTTGGGCAAGTCATTTAACCTCTGAGTTTCGGTTTCCTCATCAGTAAAATGAGGACAGTAGTATCTGCCATGCATACCTCACAGGACTGTTGTGATGATCAAATGGGAATGTATGGGAAGTGTTCTGAAAAACTGTAATGAGAGGTTTCATTATTATTAGGACATGAAAACGGAGGCCCTGACAGATTAAGTGACTTGCTCAAAGATAAACAAACACCATAAGTGTTAACATCAGGGCTAAAATGCAATAGCCTTTCAATCCACCACTTAGTCCATGACCCAGGCTCACTTGTGGCAAGATTAAGCTACTAAATAGTGTGTGTTTTTCTCCAAAGAGCTTAGTCTCTTTTTCAAGCACATCAATTATATTTCATGTTCTAATGAAGAGAGAATTATACCTTTGCATTTATCATTATCAAACTGAAGTTACCGAATGTAAATTAAAAGACTATTCCAAGTTAAGTAAAATACATATACCCCCACTGGATTAAGAGACTGAAGGAAAAGTTAAAATTTAAAATCATTAATATTTAATTTCCTGATAAAGTTAATCATTATTTCTTTAATATACTGCAACATGATCATTTCAAGTCCAATGGAAAACTAGTCAACATTTTATTTATAAGGGTAGCTAGCTAGTGTGATAAAAAACCATTTTACATTATAAAACCTAGCATAATCACTTTACAATGCTACACAACTGGAATCACAGGTAATGTGAAATTGTGAATACATTTTTTTTCTATTTTTAGAATTTCATGAATTTAATAGTCCTTGTAGTTTGGAGAGTGAGATAAGACTCTGTCTTCCTGAAGCAGAGGGCTCCTTTTGTCACCTTGTGAGAGACAGCATTATAAAAGTAGGATGGGGTCAGAAGGTGGAGGGCCTGAGGCTTTTACTTTACCTGCTGGGTAATGGAAAACAGACAAATGACACAATCTACATGTTATTTTTTGATGTATTCTAATTGGTGGGCTGGACAAAAGAGACTAAGGGTAAGGAAAAGAATTTAAAAGTTACTGCAGACTAAGAATGAGACGAAAGAGAATGTCTATGCGGGAGGAAGTAGAATGAAGGGATATGTAAGCAAGGAACATTTTCAAAGGGAGAAGTAACCGGACTTAGCACCGTAACTGGGCAAGATGCAAATAACTGAAGAGAGCACTGGTGTTTTGATACCGCTGCTCTTATGGAGAAGAACATGAATACTGGTTGTGAGCGAAACACATTTTTAAGGACAGGAATAATAATGTGCTCATTTTAACAAACATAGGTGTGACAGGATAAAAAGATACCTAAGTGTGAGTATCAATGTCAGAGTCTAGCAATTCATCCACTTGATAGCCAACTCCAAATTTGGTAGTTGGGAAGCAGAACGACCCAAGTTATACCTGTTGCATCAAAAAATGAGTTTGGCTCTTGTGGTTGTAATTGAAGTCCATCTTCATCCATGGCCTTTAATTCTCATCAGTCACAGCTCCTAAATCAGAAAAAAGTAAACCAAGCATTACTTTTTTAATATCATGTTATTAAAAATCTCATCATGATATCTACATTTCTGAAACACTCAAAATTATGTGAGAGATGAACACCTATCAAAAATTTATCTATCTAAAATGAAAGAGAACTTAACTGATGTCCGACGATATGTGGGCATCTAGATGACAGGAAAGGCAGATAAACCAAACAAGTCAGTTGTGCCATTTTTTTTTTAAGATTTTATTTATTGGGGGGGGAGCAGGGGGAGTGGCAGGCAGAGGGAGAGAGGGAGAAGCAGACTCCCCACTGAACAGGGAGCCCGATGTGGAGCTTGATCCCAGGACCCGGAGATCACGACCTGAGCTGAAGGCAGCCACTTAACTGAGCCACCCAGGAGCCCCTGTACCTAGCTTTTTAATTGAGATACTGCTTTCACACATCAAGTATACACATCCTGACGAATTTTTTTTTTAAAGATTTATTTATTTTAGAGAGAGAAAGAGACAATGCGGAGTGGGGGGTGGGCAGAGCGAGAATCTCAAACAGACTCCCCCGCTGAGCGCGGAGCCCAAAGCAGGGCTCGATCTTACAACCCAGAGATCATGACCTGAGCTGAAATCAAGAGTCGGACACTTAACCGACTAAGCCGCCCAGGCGCCCCACATCTTGATGAATCTTGATGAATTCTGACACAGGCATAAACCTGTATAATCACTAAACTACCCAGATCAGGATCTAGAACATTTCCAGCACCCTAGCACTCTCGTCTCCTCTCAGTCTGTATAACCCATATTCCCAGAATGGTAACCAGTTTTATTAAAGTTCAATTTAAACATACTCTACAGCTTACTGGGGGGAAATTTCTGCACAATTTCCCTATAACTTCTCTAAATTTAATGTAGTCTATCTTTCAACCAATACATTAAACAACTGTAAAAAATCAAAATGTATGACTGTAGTAAACACCCTTTGGGAATTCTGCCTAACTTACATTGACCCCTCTTAACTGACCCTCCAATCTAGAGAAGTAAATTCCCACAGTGTATTTATGCTCTCCAGGACACAGCTGACTGGCACTAGGTATAAAAAAGTAAAAACAAGTTCATCTGTGAGCATAACAAAATCAAAGTCCTATCCCTGAGAATCTGAAACCATGAACAAGGGTCAGTCTTCTCCCCACCACTACCACCACTGGCTTTAACACAGGAGATGAGGAAGGACATTTTCCAACTTTAGGTTAGACTAGTGAGGTAAGGTTTACAAATAAAAAATAGAAAGAATCCAGAGAATGCCCGGAGAAATAAAGTAGAGGGAGCAGGGAGGGGAGGTTTACCAACAGGTTCTAGACCTTTCTGAAGTCCAGCTATAGAACCTTATCTGCCTTAGGTTTTTACAAGACAACCCAATGACCTTAATGCTCCCTTTTCTACTTAAGCCCAAACTTACAAAAACCAAAAAAACCTGGGGCGCCTAGGTGGCTCAGTCAGTTGAGGAGCTGACTCTCTGGTTTCTACTCAGGTCATGATCTTGGGGTTGTGGAATCAAGCCCTGCATCGGGCTCCTGTGCACTCAGTGGGGAGTTAGCTTGAGGATTCTCGCTCCCTCTGCCCCTCCCCCTGCTCACGTACATGCGCTCTCGCTCTCTCTCTAAAATGAGTAAATCTTTAAAAAACCGACCAAAAACTTAACCAATTAAATAATACACTATTTAATACTAATCACTAATCAGGGATTGTGGTTTACTCATGTTGTAAATACAGCATAAACCGCCTCCCTCATTGGTTTCCTTATCTACTTTCTCACTTTCTAATCCAGCCTAAATGGTACCATTCAGATGCATTTTTCTCTTACATTTATCATTTTTTGCTGATGATATAAGTACTGAATGCTTCTTACTAAAATTTCAAATAACAGAAAGTGCAATTTTTTTAAAGTTTATTATTTCAGTAATCTCTACACCCAACATGGGGCTCAAACTCACAACCCCCAGATTAAAAGTCCCATGCTCCGACTGAGCCAGCCAGGTGCCCCAAGAGTCATTTTTCTAAAGCATCAGCTAGATGGTGTCATTTTTCTGTTGAAAAATGTTTAACGGCTCCCTGCTGCTTCCAAATAAAGTTCACACTCCTGCCTTCTAAATTCTGGCCCCAAATTATCTTTCCATCATTCTCTCCCCTACCTTCCCTTCAAGCACCTCCCCCCACCACTGCATGCACACACTTCAGCCAAACAAAAATGTCCCATGTCCCTAATAAGACCCCAGCTCTACACTGAGCTCAGGGTTTCTTCTACCTGGAACACCTTTCCCTTATCAACTCTGCTTAGACCTTTTCCCCAAGTCTCCTTCCCCACCAAAAAAGAAAAAGCTGAAAATAATCTCTCCTTCCTCTGAATTTCTACAGCACTTTTATCCTTTCACTCTGATTTTACTTGTTTGCAATAAATATTTATTTATACGTATCTTATTTTCAGATGTTAAACTTACATATAAATAGTTCTTAAATATCCATGAAAAACTCAAACAACATTAATGTAATAAATGGATTTTCAACATGTCATCTCTGAGACATATTCTATTCATTTTCAAGGAAGGACATGTTTTGTGTTATTTATTCAAACTGCTTCAAATTAAAAGGAACAAAAAATTTTTCAACTGTGAAAAACGGAAACTATACATGCTCTGAATAAGTTGTCAACTGCTCTCTCCCCATTAAAATCACCTCTGGCGGGGCACCTGGGTGGCTCCGTCGGTTAAAGGTCTGCCTTTGGTTCGGGTCATGATCTCGGGGTCCTGGGATCAAGCCCTTCGTGTGGCTCCCAGTTCACCAGGGAGTCTGCTTCTCCCTCTCCCTCTCCCCCTCCCCCCCTCATGTTCTCTCTCGCAAATAAATAAAATCTTTAAAAAATAAAAAATAGGGGCGCCTGGGTGGTTCAGTTGTCAAGCGTCTGCCTTTGGCTCAGGTCATGATCCCAGGGTGGTGGGATCGAGCCCCGCATCGGGCTCCCTGCTCAGTGGGAGGCCCGCTTCTCCCTCTCCCACTCCCCCTGCTTGCGTTCCCTCTCTCACTGTGTCTCTATCAAATAAATAAATAAAAATCTTAAAAAATAAATAAATAAATAAAATCACCTCTAACCATAATGCTTTCTCTTCTCCCCACTTTAAAAATGTAATTATAAAATGATAAATAGTAAATTAATCTTCTAAACATAATGCCATACTACTACCTGAAATTAAGCCAATTAAGAGAGCAATCAGGATCCGTTAAGGTATTAAGGCCCCCTCTCCAGTTTCCCTACATAAACCCAATCCCATCAGCTCTAAGAATTCTCAACCTACACACTAACTCTTTTGCTGGGTATTCATTCTCCTTGGCTTTTCTATTAGAGTTTGACAGATAATCACTCCCCTGGATTCCAAAATTCTCTCCTTCCCTCATTTCTCTTCCCACCTTCCCAACGGCTGGTTACTCTGCCTCCCCAACTCCTTACTGCAGCCTTGCTCCAGAAGGTACACTCAGCCCTCTTCTCTTCTGCTTTTTATTCCACGGTTTCAACTACCATTTACACAAAGATGAGTCCCCAAATTCACATACTCAGGGTAGCACCTAACACTTCCACCAGACTGCCTGTGGAATATTTCCATCAGGATAGAACCCTGCTTTCTCCTGACATGACCACTATGGCCTTTTCCTTCTTCCTGCTTAAATTCAGTCAGGTTGTCAGACCTTCTCCGTTTCTTCTCCACAACTTCTCAGGAATCTGTCCCTCTCTTTTTATTCCCAGCGTCACCGCTTACTCTCAGCTTCCTATTTCCCCATTCCCGCCTCCCCCCACCCCCAACCCAGCACCAGGGGATGAAAATAGCCTCGCCACTGGCCTTTCTGCCACTCCCACAACAAACGACGAGGAAGCCTGTTAACACGTGAGGGCTGGGGCCAAGTCCTGAGCAGGCATTCCTGCAATCTGCATCTGCTGCACACTGATCCTCTGAAGCACCGCTTTGATCATAGCACTCCCGCTTGCAGTTCCCCTATATGCAAGCTGCTCTAAAATGTTAACCCCAGCTATCACAAGGCTTATCTGCCATTATTCCCATCATTTTACATCCTATCCGTTTATTTTCTAACAGATATTCTGGCCCAAATGGTGGGTATCCACTCACCTTATTTTTGACATAGGTGAGCAGTAATTATTAAACAGTTTTGACTGATTATTTTTCATTCTATTTTGTCATTACAAAATTCTAATCAGGAAAAAACACGTTTTGTACTCCTAAGGGGAGATGACTATCCTTCAACTTTGTAACCCCTGTGGGGTTAGAATTTAAAAGTAATTCTCTCTGTCAGAATGAAACCAATGTTCTTAGAACAGAAGCTACTTAGAAGAGTTCTCAGGATTGTGAAAAACTTAAGAGTGGGGAATGTGCACTAATAACATAACTGAAATTGCCCCTGCCTTTGCTGCAAGAACCAAGCCCAGAGCTGAATCTGGAGAGAAATAAGCAGAATGATTCAGAGAACCAATACTCTAACAATTTAGGTGAACACATACTAAAGTTTTGTCTGATTACCAAATGTCCTCAAAAATACTTCTGGGACGCCACTCTCACCTCAAGGTCAGTAAAATAGTCTCTTCCCAGTTGCAAAAATCATGATCCTAAACATGGTGTGGAAGAATTCACAAGAGAAAAACATACAGTTTTAAGGGAAATAATGGGTTGAGAGAAACTCAAAAAATTCACAAAAACTTTCTTCCATTCTTTATAATAAAGCAATAAAAATACCATACCAAGTTAATAGGTATAGCAAGGGCATTTATCTTAAATTAGGGATAGCGAATATATTTCCATCTTGGATCTCTTGATGCCTAGACACTGTAATGATCCCCCTTCTTGAGCAAGTTAACAGGGTGCTTACATATTTACTTTGCTTTTTGCAGCTATTATGCATACAAGAATTACTCTTCTGCTTCTG